AAGAATTTGCGCAGGAAGATGAATGAAYATGAATTTGTGAAACATTTCCATTCTGTTAGCTGCTCCGACAAGCTGACAGATTTTACAATATTCCTCAGATCTATAAAGGATGTCAGATAAACAAACTAAAGGAAACATACGAAGAAAATAACCCATGTTAGCTGGGATGGGTGATGTCTGTTTTTTAAACAGCAGTTTTAACAGAAAGAAGAGGTGTTTATTACCAGCAGAATACTGTATGTAGAGTAGTTAGATGTCGTCCCTGTGGAGGAGGAGAGACATTTTCCTACTGAGGAAGATGCAGAGAGAGATGTGAAGGCCAGGTGAATTGTCGAGGACACTGCCACGAGAGACGGTTGGGTGGGGGGAGCTAAGTGACGCTCTGTAGCAGAGCTTACGCTGGCAAGTTTAAATAGAGCGTAGCCTGCAGACACGACACACGTGTCCCGGAGGGGCCTGGATTGCCAGGACCAGAATTTGTAATATGATGTGAACAGCCACTGGCAGCCGGTGGGGTCTGGTGGTGGGGGGAAACATACGGAGACGATAAAAGAGAACTTGGAGAGGTTGATGACAGGACAGACTGCCTCGTAGCTGCTGAACAGAATACTATAGAGGCTGGGCTTTGTAAGGGTTTCTGTAGAGCAGGTGAGCAGCATTCCTCCTTAAATACTGCTTCAGCTTCTGTCCGCAGCTAGAACACGGTGAGATTTTTCAACAGGTTTGCTGACGATGGATTAATATCACACACACACACACACACACACACACACACACACACACACACATACACATTTTTTCCCCCACTATCAATGTCCTTGTCACAGTTCCTGTGCAGTATTGGACTTTATGCCACTGTCTACCAGTTTTATTTTTATTTTTTTAATGAAATACATTTTTAGGTTATAGCTGCCTGCACAATATAGGTCCACTGCACTCCTGAACATGATGGACAACATGCCATAAATACTTAAATGTTAAAAAAAATCCAACAAACTTTTACATTTCCAATTAATAAGATGAAGTGGCAAAAACTCAAGTTATATCAAGTTGTATTGATAACTCCAATAAATTTCAGTATTAGTCAGTTGTAGATTCAGCAATTATTTTCTAAGAGTTTTATTAAAATCCATCTAGTGGTTCAAAGGGAACATATCACACATTATCTGCATTTTTTAGACATTGAATACATCTTGTTGTGTACTTGGAGTCTCAAGGAGTGCAGAAAAGTTGAATTTACTCTTTCCTGGTGCTGCGACATCCTTATATTCTGTTTAGGTCATGTTTTTCCTGTCAATTCTTTCTATTCTGTATTGTGTTTTCTGAACTACCGTATTACGGCACAGTATTTGTGACAGAATGTCTAAAGAAAGTTTGAACTTACTAACTACACAGTTTGTCGTTGGCATCTTTTAATTTATTTGTGAATTAAGAATGTTTATGGACCACTGGATAGACACAAACCCCTATCAAACTTGAATGTACCCTTCTGGAAGCTGGAGGGGGTGGAATGTGAAGCGCCTCATTTGGATTTAAACATTTACAGCATGAAAACGAGTTGATCTGAGACACATCTCAGAAAAGGGGTGAACGAGGGGCTTGTGGAGTAAGGACAAATTTAAACCAAAGCATTGAAGTTTCACTTTATATAGACCCCAAGTGAATGATTCAAATGTGAAAAGAAGGATTTAAAAGCATGATATGTCCACTGGATACACAGGCAAAAACATGATCACCTTTTTACCTGCTGCTGAGTAATACGAATTTACCATTCGGAATTTTACCTTTTAATTTTATCTTTAATTCAAATTTAAATTTTAAATGTCAGCAACCAATTAAAAGTAMTATATGAAAAAAAAATGTTATCCTGAACTACAGAGTGAGTCAAAAGCCACAGGACACCCTTTTGTTTCAGAAAGTAAAGAGAAAATGACATCTATTCTAGCACGTAATGGGTGAGGGGGGCCTATCTCTTAACACATGGCCACCATCTTGAAAGCTGCCATATTGGATCAAGGGCATCTAAAGATAGCCCCCCTCACCCATTACTTGCTGGCTTAATCAGATATGTCATTTCCYCTTTTATTTCTGAAATAAAATGGTGTACTGTGACTTCTGACTCACCCWGTATATCTGATGGTGCAGTTTGAAAAAGTTTCTTCTACTAGCTTTCCAGCTATGCTGATATACAGTCCTAAAATATGGGTCCACAGTCAGTGTAAACAAAGCACCACAGAATCAATCAAAATCCTCTTAGAAGACTGAGTCAAATGATTTACCTAAACCAGGCCGGCTGTCGTCTGGGTAGGTAAACAAATATGGCAGAATCGGACAAGCGTAAAATTTGTTTAGGTGGAAATAAAGAGTGAATCTGCTGTTTAATGCGAAACAGAACAAGTAAGACAGCTGTCAGGAATATCAAGCAGGATGGTGGAACACAAAGACAGCTCAGGATTGAAACAGACAGGCTTTTGTAAAGCTTTTTCTGACCAGTCAGGTTTGTTTCAAGTCTATTCTAATGCTTCCATACTTTACTTAACAAATACGAGTGTATAAATGTACCAACCATGAAAGTTGTTGTACAATGAGTTCCTTCGTGGATGTCGTCATTGTTGACCTGTTTTCTGTCACTTTGGCTTTTTCCAGTCAGTAAAGAAAGGCACGTGGCAGTTGGCATCTAGTTACAGATTTTGCTTATAAGTTCACTACATAACTTAGTCATTATGACAAGGGCTTTGTGCAAATTTTTTTGAGAATTTAAATCTAAATGKGAATTGATGAATATGAACTACGTTTGGCAAGTATGGGTCACCGAGTGTAAAATACAATTTTGGAAACTAATAATTTTATTATTTAGCTCACTTTTTGAGTGTAAAATCCTAGTTAAAAAATGTCCACTAGTGTTTTATTCTTATTTAGTTCACTGTTCTTATGTTTTGTTATTTTTAACTAAATGTTCAATTTAAATGTTAATTGTTTGTCTAGACTCTAAATGTTAAAATCTAAATTTAAATGTGCAAATCTAAAGTAAAAGTTAAGTCTTCAATGTTGTGGCTGAATGGTGATGTTTGCATTTAAACATGTCAGAATGGAACACAGCTTTTGCCACTGGTGTGCAGCTTTTTTTGTTGCTAACACTGCTAACATTGCTAACACTGGTAACGTTTCCCTACAMGACATCAAACTTGCAGTTTGAGCCTCCAATTGTAGACAGAGTCTGAGCTGGACCACATGGTCCATCTATATTATTTTCAATGAGCACATTTTGAATATAAATTTTAAATGCCATCTTTAACAGTGTTAGCACAGGTCACGGGCAGATGACGTATCATATATTAAACATCTTATTGCTCCATACTTTCCTAACAGAAAACTTCGCTCTCAGACTGCAGGTTTACTTGTGGTTCCTCAAGTTTCTAAAAGTAGAATGGGAGGCAGAGCTTTCAGTTATCAAGCTCCTCTCTTATGGAACCAACTTCCAGTTTCTGTCCGTGAGGCTGACACTCTGTCTACTTTTAAGATTAGACTGAAGACTTTCATTTTTGATAAATCATAGTTAGAGTTAGGTTTCCAGAATTATTTTTCATTTCTGCTGCTATAGACTTAGACTGCTGGAGCACAAACCGAGCACATCTCCTCACTCTGTTGTTGTCTTTAGTCTCTCTTCTCTACATGTTTATTGTAATTATTTCTATCATGTTTTTTCTTTGTCTCTTCCAGAAGAAGGTGCACCTGGACCAGTCCCGGACCAGTTCTTCTGTGTTTACCTGTGCCTCTTTCCTGTCCCTCAACCAGCTGGTCGAGGCAGATGGCCGCCTGTCCTGAGCCTGGTTCTGCTGGAGGTTTCTTCCTGATTAGCAGGGAGTTTTTCCTCTCCACCGTTTGCTCAGGATGGGTGACTGTGATGAAGTGATTCAACGCAGCCTGTTGGTTTCTTCTTTAGATTGTTCTTTTTATGTACAGTGCCCTGAGACAACGTGTTGTGAYGKGGCRYWATAYAAATAAACTTGAACTTGARCAACATAAGCCTTGCACYAACAACAAWGGATGTWTTCCATTCTGAAGTTGTTAAATGTAAACTTCAACCTTTAACCACATTTAAGATTTAGTAAAAAAYAGTGAAAAAAAGACCAGTAAGCTAAAGAACAAGGACATGTTAGTGGAAATATTTAAATTAGGATTTTACTCTCAGAAAGTGCCCATAGACTGGTCTCTGTTACTTTTCAAGAAATACTTTTAAGGTTGAAAAACATAAAAAAAATGCTCAAATTGGATCCCAGCAGCTTCATCCTTAATTTGCATGAACAATAAATAGAAAACTCTGCAAATAATAAATCACAGCTACACCACTTAAAACAAGCAGCACACTTATGCAATCTAAAAAAACCATCAACTGAACAAACAACAATCAAATTTAAAAAGGGGGGAGGGCGGTTTACACTTGCAATTACAGGTTGATGTTAGCGCGCTAACGGCAAAAGAGACTCATTAATTTTATTGCTGATGGAAATGGTACTCCAATAACGAAATGAGAAATTCTCAGCCTTCAGATGTGTACACCACCACGACTATTTAATACACTGTGAGCTATACATCTGGCTGTCAGTCTCAAACATAAACAGATGATGAGTCATTATTATATAAAGCTAAAACAAGTGGGCCCAGAATGGACAAGAAGTGGAGGAGTAAAGATAGACAATTATGTTGTCGGAAAGACTGAAAACACTTTTTTTAAAGRTTTGAACAAAATCCAATGTATCTGTATTGTGCAGCTAACAGAGAGTCATAATTCTTCTCAGACAACAAGAAACATCGCCCTGCTTCACCTTTATTCATCTGAGATCTGGCTTGTTTTCAGAACAATTCAGGGTCTGTTTTACCTCCTGAGACGCCTCCACTTCACGGCATCAAACCCTTCCCATGACACMTTTATGACTTTCATTTGGCTCTTGATTTAATTTAATGGTGAGGCGGTCCACGGAGTGTTGGGGGTTACTTACAGTTTGATATGTTTACGACAGGGCACAGAGTTCCTCATGCAGGTGCCAGTTAGGATGTCCACGTTGTCGACAATGACAAAAGGCTTCTCCTCCAGAGTGACGATGGAGAGGTGGTTTTCATCGGCGTCCTCATCCCCGTGGGCGTTATACCTCGGCCACACGGGGAACATCAGTGACAGTGTCCCGTTCTCCCAGCGGCCCATCTGCACGAGCACAAACAGAAATCAGGGACAGGAATCTAAATTAGGCGTTTTATTTTTAAATTTAGCTGCTCTTATGTAAGGAAAAAAAAGGAAGAAAAATCCTGTGCTTGTTTGTTACCTTCTCCCACTTTCTTTCACTGTTCAAGACGACGACAACCAATCTGGGGTTGGCCTGGTAACCATCTGGAGTAAAGGACAGATCTCGTCCTTCRTTCCACACATGCATCATGTGTCTGAAACACACGGGAATCAGCAGAGTGAGGAAGCTGTTGTTTTTCTATCTGTCACGCTTCRTGCACAGGAGCCGATACATTTCAAATAACAAGTTAAACACTCGGTAATCACTGCGAGAGGATTCTCTTTAAATCAATGCCATCTTCTCCCACTGTGTGTGTGTGTGTGTGTGTATGTGCCCGGTTCAGCATGAATCTGTGTGTGAGTGGGGTGGGGAGGAGTCAGAGGCCACAGATCTCTCCCATCAACATTCTGCATTGATTTCTCACCAGATATACGCCTGAAAGACAAGTCACTGCCCTCGACTCTCTTACTCACTACAGCTCTCTCCTGCACACTCAAACAGATCTGTTGCTGAAACATTTACACRCTCACTAAAGTGAAGCAGTAGAAAAGAGAAAACGAGCCAGCTTTRCATGCAGTCATGTGGGATTAGGAATACATTCACTCCAGGAAAAAAATTAAAAATAAAGAAAAATAAATCAGAACGCAGGGATGATCTGAGTGTTAAAACACAGGATAACAGCCTGAATTCCCCCTGAGGAGGAATAAATGTTGCCTGAGTGAAAAGACTTATTCCAAGGATGGACACCATCTTGACTTAAATACTTTTAAATTTGTTTTTATTAATGGCCATCATGAAAAGAGTAAGGGAGGGCAGTCGTCAATGATCAATAGCTCTCAGAGGTCTCGACCATTCTTTCTTTTATTTATTATTTTTTGACTYATGGCTGTTTTATAACTGCTTTTTTGTCTGATCCTTGCACCTGACCACAGCTGAATGTAAAAAATGAAATATAATAATGTACCAGTGAAGCGCACAAAAGAAGTGTTATGCCTGAATCACTGTTATATTTTTTACAGCAGTTGAACAGATTTGGAAAGTCGTGTCTTAAAAATCGATAGAGAAAAAAAATAAACTGACGCAGGACCTGAGAGATGCATCATCCTCCAGTTAATCATCTAATGGATGACAAGGTTGGATCTCATTGGAAATGTCCTTGTTGGTGCAAAAATACTTTGTGTCAAATTGTTATCTTTTATTTATTATTATTTTTTTCTTAATAGAATGTAATGAAACTGCAGCAAACGGTGTCCTAAAAATCCATCTTAAAAATGGTTATTTGCACATTTTTTCACCTGTCGACACAACAGGGGTTTATCCTTTTGAGTTTAGAAGCTGTTATTCCTGAATGATTGGTAGGTCAAAATAAAACATTTCTTTAAAAAAGGCTAGGTTGGACTGAAACCAAGTAACAACAGTGTGTTAAGAGAATAATTTTATTGCTTCATCTTAATTTCAAACGCAAACCATTTAGCCCTTTTATGGTTATTTTTAAACAGGACAGTCAAACAGTACTTCAGGTTTTTTTTCTGTGAGCTTACTGAGGCACGGGGCCATGAAGGATTCATGCATAAACTCAAATATTGTGACAGAAAGTCAAGATGCATGAGAGGAATCATTTGAGTCCTGCTTCAGCGTGCACCCTGCAGGTGAAAACTATGATAATTACTCTCAATTCAAAAAGGTGGGATTTTATGTTGTCTCRTCGGCGGGAGACATATTAATGTTGACGCAATTAAACGCTGTTGTCAGATCAGGGGTTAGAGACGTGCATCTGTTGTACAAAGACTCAGGAGTTGGTCCTTTTCCTCTCCCACTGTGGTAGAAGTAAACAARAGTCGCAAAAAACACAAAACAGCTRCTTTRAATCCACCCTTTCCCAGCAAATACAAACAATTAGCTTTACCTACACAATTACACATAATAGACTCCTCAGTGTTCTTTAATTGAAGCTGTCTTCATTTATTATTATTTTTTACAAAGGTTTCAATTATTAGCAGCATGTTGACAGAAATATTTTTATTTTTTTTTCTGAATTCATCATTGTGCAGCAGGTGATGCCCTTGTCGCAGCAAATTGCCACGGCTGAATACATATAGCGGAAACACTGTTGCAGTCTATTCTGGGAAACTGCTGTCTCCTCCGATTTTAGCTTTCTTTACCATTTTGGAAAGAAAAACAAACAAACAAACAAACAAAAAAGTATAAAAACAACAAATACTTTTGATATGAAGAGAAGAGTCTCGTGTTTTTGAACCATTCAAATCAATCAAACGGGCTTTATCTATTCATGTTTATGTTATGTTTCTATGTGGTTCAAAAAAAATTGAGCTACAATGAAATAAAAATAACTTATTTATTTTTAATGTTTGTTAGATTATTTGTACTAAGGAAATAAATGATGAAGATGATAGTACTGATCCTTTGAAATGGGTTCTAAAAAAGCAGGTACGTACTGCTGAGTGTAAAAAAAGCACTTGGCTAAATGTGCTTAAACATGTGTTTATCGTTTGTTTACTTTTGTAAAAAAAACCACATGACTCAATTTTTAACAAGTTTTAGMAAATTCAGCAGAAGGCTTGTTTACACTCAGTGCATACCTGCRTTTTAGAACTGGGTAACAGTATATTTAGAAAAGTAAACATCTTCAAACTGCACCATTTTATTAAGTTCAAGGTATGTTTGTTTTTATATTTTGCAATGGTTATCTTTAATTAAGCATGCACAGGAAAAGAAATGCTAATAATTTCYCTGCTAGTATTGTTTGGGTGAGAATATTTGAGTTGCTGTGCAATGAAATAGTTCTGTTAGACATTTTTTTGCATGAAAAAAGAGACAACTGTGGCTCTTTCTTAATGACCAGGCAAAAAAAAAAAAGACAGCTTAGAGGGTTTGCTTCATTCAGTGTTTACATCAAAAACAGCAAAGGGAAAACATTTWGAAATTTAAAAAGGATAAACACTCAAACCCAGTAGGTTGAGTCTAAGATGATCCAGTGGCATGGAGTCCAGCAGGTCTGATAGTGTCTTTAAAGTGGCAGATCATGTTGCCCTACTCACTTCTTTCCACCTCCTGCTGTTTATATGCTCACTGCGGCAAGATGGAATCTAGACTAATTTATGCAGGATTCTGATCACAGCCTTTTCCACTTCTAACTCCGAGCAAGGAAATCCAACTTGTCAGTTCATTATCACAAAACCGACTGCAGCTGCTTTAACAAACTCTACCTAATAACCGTCTGAGGCAAGAAAAGTGCCTCTTAGAGAAAGAAGATTCTCAGTAAATAATATAAATTAGCTTGTATTTGTGTATATGCTTGATATATATTAGTATAATGATTTATAAATGGTAGGAAATGGGATATTAAAGCTATAATGGGGAGAATGAACTATTGTTCTTATTCTAATGAGGGAACCCATAAGTCATTATGGATGTACAGTACAGAGCCAAGCAACATGACCTTTATGTGTTAGTTGGTTTAATATAGACTTCCGAATTAATAATTATGTTTTGGCCACTGCGTGCTTCATATCCACGAGGCAGTCATAATATCAGAGCACAGAAACCTGACARGAAGCATTATGACAAACAGTGCAGTGGTTGTACATTTCCATTTGTTCATGCTCGGAGTGTGTCCGGATGCCTCTAATTGTGTCAAATTCAATGTCGCAGAAGACCAAAATAAAACAAAAAAAAACTTTGGACAAGCCAAACTCAATCTATATTTTAAGGAAAAAGGAAACCGATTTCCCATGTCTTATGTCAAAATATTCATTCACAAATATGAGATTAGCATTTCTTAACACATCCTCTTTAGAATTCTGAACAAATGTTGTTGACATCAATAAACATCTAAACACCCAGCTAATATTCCACTTTGAAATGATAGGAGGAAACGAAACAAACATGAAAAGAGGATAAGATATTCATACTGTAAATATCAGCTCAAGCTGACAGAGCTGAAATCAGCCCAAGCCACACGTCTGACATCTCCTTTAGCTGCAGCTAGCTGCAACACTTCCTGCGCAGCCTGGGGCACATCCAACAGCTATGTTATAATATACTCAGCACAAAAAGTAAGAAGTTTTGTGTTTGGTTAATTATTTCTTTATTGCAACAGTGATTCTTATCAATAAGTCTTACAGCAAGCAGAGTGGGACACAAGATAGCCTAACTGGCAGCACCTGGAGGTGCCAGAAGCTCAAAACAAGTGTCAATATCAACAACAAAATAAGCTGTTTGGCAGAAAAAAATATCAAACGTTTCATGTGCACAACCCACACACTCAGCTCTACAGCTCATCCCACAAATGCAGTTTACAAATTGCATTACAAATGTGGCACTGTTGAAAAATAAAATGAACAGGCTTTCAAACAGTAAACGATTCATTGCCAAGAAGCATTGATTATTATACCAAAAACAAATTTCCTCACTTTTTGTGCTAAGTTTATTTCTACCAAAGGAATCATTAAGGCAAATAGCACTTGTAAGAACTGCTGTGAACTTTTTTGTTCTTGGCCATGCTCAGATTAACCGTTGTCTTGTCAGTTCAGTCAAAAGTCTGTTTCTCCAATTTCTGGCTGTTCAAAGAGTTATCTACAATAAGCAACATATTAACTGTCCATAACAATTCCACAGAACCTAACTTCAAATGCCTCCAACTTTCTCTTTAATGTATCTGCTCTGTCTTCTCTTGTTGTTTGTAGGTACAGAGCAGATCCTCATCTCAGAGACTTCAGAGAGTGTTCAATGCTCAGGAAGACATTATGCATATTAACATGAACCCACACAAATACTGTATGTGCTGCAGCCACAGAGCCATGTAACCAAATAAGAAAGGGAATCAAGCTAATAAGATCTGCTTAAAAGGGCCAATATTATGTGTTTCTCAGGCATACATTTAAATACGATACCATAATGAAGTATCTATATCACCTTTAGCTGTTATTAAAATGCTTTTTATGTTTAAATAGAAAAATAAACTTATCTTCTCATCACTTCCTCTTCTAAACGCCTTGAAATTGGCCTCTGTCTCTTTAAGAACCTCCTTCTGCTTCTGTCTCACCCATTTCGGTGTGGGGGGGGGGCTGCTATGATGCAGTTTACTTGGCATCTTAAAATACATTTCCTCAAAAAGTATTTTGAATCTGAAAAGAGCTTCACTGAGTGAGAAGTAGTGGAGCTCGGCAGACAGTTTAAGTTTCACTTTCACTTTCACCCGAGAGCCTGCAGGAGTCATGGGCGGGGTCTGTGGGGAGGTGGTGCACTCTGCCATGAGGAAGCTCGGCTTAAAGACACGTCCCAGGGGCGTTTCTGGTCCCAAAAGGCGTTTCTGTCCCAAAAGGCGTTTCTGGTCCCCACCTGTCGTTTTGCTCCTCAGCATGGCTGCCTAAACATGCTGCAGGATTTCTCAAGCACGCATTAATGAGTCAAAGCAAGGCTTTGGCCATGTTTTTTATGAGAGTATAACATTATAACATGATATAAAACTCAAAAAAGTTGATTCTACATGATATTGGCCCTTTAATACTGGTTTAACCACAGTGAGGCCTAATTGTGATCTGAAGCAGGTGCAGAAAAATACTCCCACCATCGGATTGGATCGGAGCAATAAAAACATAAAGTTCTGGCTGAGCAACAGCTCTTTGTCTCCCGGCTAAGCCACAACAATTGGCTTAAAAACTGAGCACAAAAGCTGACAGTTTTAAATGTCATTAAAAACATAATGTTTAACACTGCTGTCATCCCTGCTTCTTTTCTCCACACTTCCCGCTCTCATTGGAACATTATAAAGACTTATGCAGGACTGCTTAACACAAACTCAGTTTGAGTCCCTGGACCTTGATCTCTTTACACTCATCATACATACACACATATATATAAACACACACACACCTGCGCAGGGCACTAGGTGGGACCTTCCCGGGGCCCCAGTCCGACGGCGAGCTGAAGCAGCTGCTCTGGGCCTCCGGCAGCCCGTCCTTCTCTCGTAGCAGGGAGGAGGCTGCAGTGGAAAGGATGCCCACCCCGTCCCGCACCCGCATCTCCAGCGGGTACTCCCAGTCGTCGTAGGACACGGAAATCATACCCAGGGGATACACCTGCACGACAGGGAGATCTAATGAGCGCCACATCAGCTGCGTAGGGTTAAATTTCACATCTGCTCAGCATTTTATCCCCACCCCCCTCCTCCTTCAATTTTAAACCTATGTGATTCTCAAAGATGTGAAGCAGGCAAGTTTTTTKGTTCCATGTGCCATCCTGAAATAATTCAGAGCAGCTGATTACATAAGTGTGGCAGACTTTTTGTTCCAAGACTATGTTCATCCCTCTGAATCTGTCATTCCACCCTACAATACTTGCTTTTTACATTTCAGTTTGCCATGGACTTTAGAATCATATCTAGTCTGACTCAGATATGAGCATTGCTGTCAAGCAGAATAATGAATAGCGGAGACAAGAAAAAATGTGTCTGAAAGGCTTTTGAGAAAAGGGCAGGCAAACACTGGATATAATTTTATATCTGATGTGAGAAGAACATTTGAACTGATTATACTGTGCACAGCAGAACGAGTACACTGCTGTGTATTATCACGTATGTGTCAAGTGACTTTAAATTGTGTCACCTTACTGTGATGTCAATATCTATAATCTGAACAGCAATGTTGAAGCAAACAAACAAAAATCTGTTTTTAGTTGCTACAACACAGGCCTCACAGGTATCCAAGCTATAAAAGTCAAGACATTTTCCCTTTTGTTCACCTTTATGTCAGATAATATATTCCACTGATAGTCAACTTGTGGCCCCCAGGCCATATCCAGCCAGCAATCTCATTCAGTTCAGCCTACAGAGTGTTGTTGTTGGTTTTCTTTTGGCTGACCCCTTCTTCAGAGGTCGCCACAGCGAGTGAACTTTGCACAAAAGATTTGGCAATTGCTTTATGCTGGATGCCCCACCTAACACAACCTGGGCTTGACCCTGCAGCCTGCTGATAACTAAGCCACCGCCGCCCCTCAGCCTGCAGAGTATGAAGTTATTTAAACAGATTTACATGAATCAGCTGCAGCCCAGCTCAGAAAATTTTAATAATGGTAATGCCTTAAGCCAATCAGAGTGCTCTTTCAAAGCACTAGGTCAGAATACTGATAAAGTTAATGAAATCTATTTTTAACCTGGTGAGTCTGTTTTTACCACTGACGTAATTAAACACAAGACCTGAGCCTAGAAGTTGAAGCAACAGAGGATGAGAGCACCTCATTGTAGGTTGACAATAAAAATTGTAAGTCCTGCCCCTCTATATAAACAAATGGGACATTTTCATGATCAATAAATAAAATACACAACAGATATTTTTTTCAGATGTTGATTTTTTATTTTTTTTATATATTTTTAATTCACATTTTTTATCTTACCTTGCTGTATGTTAAAGTATTGTATTTTTTTTAAAAATGTGTTTGGTTTTAATTAGTTATTTGAGGCCTAAACTGTGATTGACAACTTGACAGTCTGTTAGTGAGTTGGGAGAGTAGGCGGGACTTAAGTTTAAATGGTAAATCCACACGTTCCTGTTGGACAGGCTCCAGTCTACAAATATAACATGGCAGCCTTTTACCTGTTTTGAGGGGATTCAAGTTTTGTTTTTTGTTTTTTTATGGTCAACTCTCCACATTACTTCCATATTCCAAACCATGCATCTTGTGCCATTTGTGCCAATTGTGTATTGAACTGTCAAAAACTAATCTGATCTTAGTTTATGTCATTCTTGTCACTCCCCTCCAGTGTGTTCATTGTAAAGTGAATAATATTCATGCAGAGCTTATAAAACTGTGAATCAACCTAAAGAACCTGAGCATCAACCTGCTACTCTTTTTATATTTGGGTTTTCAAGAGTTCTTCCTTTTACTCCAGTCTGACATCATGATAAGTTCTGTTCACTGGCTGAGCTGTCACAGAAACTCAGATTCACTAAATATTTCAGAAACAATATGTGCCAAGTCCAAAGCACTTTCCTGCATATTTTCTAAGGTAATATTTTAGAAGGACAGATACTGCAGGTCTTATTAGTGGCAGTAAGATTCGTTCCATAGCTCCTGGTGATAGTTTTTAGATGGTTAAATCTTTCTCTGGTTTTCAGTAAGAGCATTTATTTTCCTCTCATGTTCATGCAACTGGGCTTCTTTGAAAGTGCAGTCCACTCTGCGATCAGAAGTATTGTGATTTATATGTTAGAATGTAAACTGAAAATGAGTTTCTTTTCTGATGCTGTGTTTAAAGTAATTTTCTTTTACTTTATGTTTAATATTCTCAATAAAAACACTTCTCACTTTAGAAATAACACAATAATTTGTAGTAATACAGTTATGAATGACTTGACATTTAGGTGTCCTAATTTCTGTTGTGCACCAACTTTTAATTATTTTCTCACATGTCTATGGTATTTAGACAGCACAGATAATTCAGATGGATGATATTTGGATAATATTTGCATGTAATTTGATCCAACTCCCTGGTTTGGGGCTAAGCAGATGTTGTTTGGCACAGAGAGAAAATCAATGCTGAACAAAAAAGTGTTAAAAGTGATCATTGCTGAATTTTCCGCACTACAAAGACTAAGCATTGCCATTAATTATTAGCTGTGTTTCTTCAAGGCTTTCTGTCTCTAAAACACATTATTACAGTAATAAAACAAACTTGTAAAAATGCTTCACATGATTTATGTTTTTATTTAAAAACAAAAATCCAATTACTAATCCTTTTTCTACCTAAATGATTTCACTTGTTGCAAAATAATTATTAATTTATCAGTATAATAGTCAAATAATATCTTATTTTTGTATAGTTATTTAATTTTATTGCACAGATATTAAAAAAACTGAGAGAAGACAAGTGAAAATGAGGACAGTCGGCAGTTTCTCCACCTCTCTTCAGAACTTATTTTAAACCAATTTCTGAACTTTTTTTATTCTTATTTTCAATTGTATTTAGTATCAAGGCTGAATTTGTATTTATTCCCAAGTACACCCAAAATTTAATTGAATACAACGTCACCTAAAACTTAGGAGTCAACAGGCTGTGTTCTACATTAATCTAGGTAATTTGTAATCATAAAGTAATTAAACTTATATTATTTATTAGCTTCTGTTCTCTTCCTTTATCAAGTCATGTTGAAAGCCTGACAAGCTGATGTTAGCAATTAGCTGCTTTATTTTCCTGCAGTAATAGGCAGTGCATTTTCACCTGCTAACATGCTAACTCCTGAAGCTTGTTTCAAACATTTGCCTTGAGAGGAGAGACTGGTGTTGCTTCTTTGGTCGACAATCAATGACTGTGTTATCTGCTGCATTAAGTGAACTACCAATAGGCCTTTTTATTTTTAGTGAGCAAATAGTGTCCTTCAGCCACTGTACACAACTAAAGGACTCTAAAGCGTTCTGGTCAACCAACTGGTAGAGTACATCATGAGGCCTTTTCTTGGTGTGAACCTCAAGGGTTTTAAGCAACAGGTGGAGAGGTGTCAAAACTCCTTGCGGCCAAAGGCAGGGAGGGACAAAAAAAAAAAAGAAGTTAAATAAAACTAAAAAGCCTTCGCCTCAGTATCTTAGTAAAATACATTTCAACTATGAACTGTATGATGGTCAGGATCATCAGGTTGATTGCTCAAGATAAAAGACTTCAACAAAGTGAAGAATTGATGCATTCGGCTTCCTACGAAGATAACCTTTACTAATTGGCATTTTATAATATATGTAAATGTTTGTACAATACCCTAAAATGAATTTGGTTGTGAATTGGTATTATAAAAACAAATTGAATTGGAGACCACGGCTTCGTAACACTGTGGTATGTGTTTGGGTTACTTTGAAACCTGTTATCAACGCATGCCAACTCTCAAAACCATTTAATTTACCAAAGTTAGCAAAAAAGTGAAACAACCTAAAACAAATTGAGGTCATGTTGAAAATGAACTGCAACAGCCTGGAATCAAAAATGATTCTCATCCTGTCAAACTACCAGAAAATGGCCACCTGTTACCACTTGGGGGACTTCACTACCTCAGGGGTAAAGTCTGTGTTTCCAGTGGTGAGACTTGACACAATCCAGATGTAACCAGCTCCTATCAGTCCTAACGACCGAGCTTCCTCCAGGATATATCTGTCAACGAGAGGAGACAGATTTACAGCTGAAACCTGGCAGTGTGACACAAACAGCACAGGAAAATGAAAGACACAAACACTCACACTGCCTCATCCTTGGAGCAGTACAGCAGAATAACAGGGCTCTGTATCCTCTTGAGGGCTATGTGTGATTTCGAGTTGGGGTCGCCGTCTACAGCTTCTAGCGTCACGACACTCTGCAGGTCCCAGCGTACAAAGCTGTAACAATACACCATCGAATAATACAAGGACGCGCATCTTGTCAGCAGCCATAAATAAATGTTAGGAGGCGAAAACAATGAGAACGTGTGTTTGTGTGCGCTTCTACCTGTGATCCACAGTTACCCTCAGCGTGCTGATGAAGTCCTGATAACCTGGGAACTTGGAAGTTACAATGGAGAAGACATGCCAGTCGTACTCCTCCATGATTGCAAGCATGAGAAGCGCCTCCTGCTGCAGCGCCGCACCAAACTGGAAGAACGTGGAGTTCTCGTCCTGCAAAGACACAGAAGAGAKTCCCCCCCCCATGAAAATCAGCACCTTTAGTCTCGCAATCAGGCTTAGCAAGAGAAGACTTGAGTGTAAGTGTTGGACAAGTGGAAAAGAGAGGGAAAAAGATGAAGAGAGAGTGAAAATTTCAGTCAACAAGTGAGACAAAGCTGCGAGAGAGTGACTGCCGGCGACAGTTGGGGCGGGGTGGGGGACTTACGGTTAGAGATAACTGCCTCATAAGTCACAGGCCTAATCCACTTCAACACTGAGTAGCCGACATGTACAGTGATGCATTATTTTGACACGTAATTGAGTCAAATAGTAAGATCATGCCAGCTGACACATGTCGGGTGGCTCTATACTGGTGAGATAAATGCAGAAAAATATAGATGTTTTATATCTGCCGCACTAGAAATGATAGGACATCCTCTTTTAAACGGCGACTCTAAATGTTCACAATTTCACAGCATTAATTCACAATGCTCAGCTAAATCATTTAGTCTCAGCAATGGGAGGAAAGTGGAGGCAAGGGTGAGAGGAAGCGGCGGTGGCGGCGGCAGCAAGCGCCACCAAAACCAAAGCGGCTATTAAAATGAATGAAACCCGAAGTGAGTGTGAAATAAGTTGCTAATGATTGCAGACTGTATGTTTGCATGAAGTGTCATCCGAGCTTCTCTCCCTCTTGGGACACAACAAATAGCAACCCAGTCCTTCAATCAGAGAGAAGTGAGGAGCTAGAAAGTAGGAGTAAACAAGGGGAGATGAAGAAGAAGAGGCGGCAGAGGGGTAGAGAGAGGAGGAAAACAAAAASTTTTTTTTTGTCCTCTAAGTGAAATGTAAGACACCTCCAGCAGAAGGAAAAACAAGCACTTTATTTTTTAAAGAGGAAAAAGAGAAACAGAAACCAGCTTTGTCCCCTTCTTTTCCCACACATGGAGAGACCACACAAATATCTGCTGTAACATTCTTAAACAGAGATGATTGTTTCTAAGCTGGGTTTTTGTGGAAAGGTTTTGAACAGTTAATATCTTACATGTTTCAGATAGCTCTTTGAATGAATTCAGTTTAGAGAAAAAATATTTTACATTGCATCCCTATTCCAGAAAAAAATATGTATATATGTATAAAGGAGTCCTCCTGGCTGAACAGGAAGTGCTATTTGCTCATGCAAATAATCCAAATATTCTAATTAGTTGCATAATGGAAAATTTGTGGCAACATAAGGATTAAAGAAATACTTTTTTGCATTAACTTCCATAATATTTTTTTAAATTGGGGTTGTTCATAACAGCAGCAATCTACTTTGTTCTTGGCCCTGATTGGGTGGGCCTTGGTTATTTCTCCAAAATGAAGTCTGCCCAAGGCCCGTCAGTTGACTTTTTTGTAATTTTATATCCTAAACCTGACCATTTACCCTAAATTAGCCTACAGATACCTACCTGACCCTAAAACTAACCTAAAACTCAATTCACACCTTGGTCCTAAACCCAACCCCCAACTCACCAATGGCATTTAAACCAAACGAGGACTCGACTGAGGTCCCCAAATGTAGGCATTTTGTCTTAAAATTGCCCCCAAATGTCACAACACACACACACACACACACACACACACACACACACGTTTCTTTGTTAAAGCAGCTCCTTCTGTTTTGACCATCAAACACTTAAAGTTAGTTCCTCAGAGGTCTAACTACCCTCCCTTCACCAATGTGCAAGAAAAGCAGAAAAGTGGAAAGTGGAGAGGATGAAATTGTACTTCAGAAAGATCTATCTCCCTGTTTTCATCAATGCCCCTGTGCCACTGTCTGTGCTTGCGTGGCTTTCACATTTAAAAAATGAGAAAAAATATCCCTCTGTGTGGCAGCAGGAGCTCCCCCAGTTCTGACCAGATAACAGCAACAACGAAAAAAGCTTTTGTGCTCATGAGATTCAGTACTAGCATCAATCTGATAGTTAACTGATTAAAAATATCTACGGACACAAAGAGCCTACTCTTATTTTGTGATTATTTATACCCTAACCAAAGAAAGGCTTTTTGCAATTTGTCTACTCCTGTTTTTTTTTTTTCTCCTTAGCAGCTAAAATGTAATAAGACACTTAACTGAAAAGCTTTTTCATTGACTTGTTTGGGCTTTTTCCTGTAATTTCTTCATCAGTTAAAGCAAGTAAAAAGGTCTGCAATTTATTCCAAGTGTTGCATTTGCAGTTCGGAAGCTGTTTTTGTGAACCTTCAGCACTCAGCCAAAGGAGCTCTCAAAGAAAATGAAACTTATCATCCTAGGACTGCAAAAACAAAACAAATCCATCAGAGAGATAGCGAGAACGTTAAGTGTGGCCAAATCAACAGTCTGCTCCATTCTGTGAGGGGAAATCATTTACCAGTCAGATTTGCAGAGTGAAAATGCACGGATGCCCACAAAGAGGGTTGGATGAGTCTAAAATCCCTGAGAGAGAAACTAAAAATCACCGCTAGATGACCGCAAAACATTATTCTAGTCTGCAATAAAGGCTTCAACAAGAAGATATATCTGATTTATCTTTAGGCTTGAACCCTACATAAGTTTCAAAATAGTTTGGAAATGTTTTATTTTGAAAAACCCTCAAATAGTCAAAGTCTTGAAACATCAATTTCTGATAAGAAGAGTTCAGTTGCAACTGAATGAACCAGGGGATTTATAAAAAATCCCTGTAACAGCTTGTAACAAGGAGAATACAACATCTACTGAAAAATAATAATAAAAAAAGAAATAAGAGGACAATGATAACATGATTGTTCAGAACTTCCAACCAGATTACCAGTTGTCACTGATGAAGATAAAAAAAAACTTATAAAACAGTCAGATAAAGATTATATTATATTAAAATTCAGCCAAATGCAACTATTAGCTGATGGGTGGAGATTAAAATCAGAGTTTTGAAAGATAAAAGATATAATAAAAAAATGATTGGTAATCATTCGTCAAGATTATGACAGTGTTTAAGGGTTGCTCAGCAAGGAAAATAGGATGAAGTTGTTTCCTTTTTGAATTTTGAGACCAAAGTTTAAAATGTTAAAACAAAAGTTGAAAYAGTGTTTCCAAACTGATGAAGCAAATTCCACTGCACCTCTAAATGCTGCTGTATTTGTTATACTGGATATACAGGTACGTTTTTAAAAATAATTTCTGTAGCCTAATATGGGCAGCACAGCAGTGCAATGATTTGAATTGTAGCCWCACAGCGTGAAAGTCACAGGTTCGCCCCTTCCTCAGTCTTTCTGTGTGGAGTTTGCATGTTCTCCCTGTGCATATGTGGGTTTTCTCTMATAAAGACCAAAAACATGCATGTGAGCATTCATTGAAGTTGGACCTGTCCAGGATGCCCCCGCCACCTCTCCCACAGTGCCTGCTGGAGACACTCCTCGACTCATACAATATAAGAGGGTTAAAAAAAACAGGTTGGATATAGTCAAAGTCTGTTGGTGTTCATTTATTAAGCAAATATAAAATAAATAACACAAAGCATTTTCTTGAACTGAATGTGGTTTATTATGTTTGCGGCAGCAGAACTTCTTTTGGTCCTTCACAATAAGAGTCTCAAACATATTTTACATTGARTGTTGACCTCAAAATATTCTCACATCATCAGAAGCTTATGAAAATAGTTGACACGATTATTGTTGTTCTCCAGTAAAATTCAGAATACAGCCTATATATGTGTACATTTTATAAATTACAAAAAACATAGGGCTTCAGACACAAGTTATGATGTACAAAGTATGTGATGAATTAAATTCCTTGTTGCAAACAATTTTGAGGTATTGGGTCACTATTTACACAAGGTGACGCAAGACATTGTGAAAAWAGAGTAGTAGTAATAAATTGAGTCATTTGTTAAAAGCTTTATTAGTGATGTAATTTTATCTTAATTCTTAACAGTTTTTGACTTTGAAAGTTTATTTTACTTTCAGGGGCTGTTTTTTAATAAGTGAAAGGACTTTTCTTTTTATATAAACTTCAGTAAGTGTCATTTTCAAGACTGCTGATTGGACATGATGAATAATTGAAAGAAAACCATAAAAATACAGTGMGTCACAATATTTGAGGTCATTTTAAGGATTACAGAGGGTGCTGAAGTCGTGACTATGCCACACATATCCAATATTTTTACATTTTTAATATTTSCACATTTCACTGTATAACTCACGCATCTGTACTGTCACGATCTGGATTCCTTAAAGTGGCGGCTGAAAATGAAAGGCAAAATTTATAATAAAATGTGAAAACTCTCCTCTTGTTGAAGGCTGAGGAGTGAAAGGATGATAGTTGGGGGTGAAGTTGTTAAATTATAAAGGACAAAAGAAGAGAGAGAAAGAGACACAGACCTGCATCTTCTCTTCAAAGCACATAAGTCCACCAAGAAGCTCACATATATAAATAATGCACAAATATGGCACACACCCACACCACACCAACACACAGACACACAAAACACACACAAAAATAAATAGGTTTCTCCATTATAACCCACATGTCTAGAGATTTCCTGATGACATTGTAAATTAATTATACAAATACTGTGCACTTCATGTGCGGTTTCGCATCCATCCGAGTGCAAAAACACGGCACATACACATTTACACGAGCACAAAGGGCCCTAAAATATAGCTTTACTCATCAGCCAGCATGACAATGTTTAATTCATCAGCTCAACCAAGACAGTATCTCACTTATTCTCTCTTCCCCTCTCACACACATACTATTTCATGTCAAATACCATTTTTGTTTACAGCAATCAGATTAGGAAAAAGAGAAAGGGAAAGTCTGACGAGAGCCGTGCAGAATCCAGGCTAATGAGAGATGAACTGAGACTTTCCCAAAAGTCAGTGGCAGGAAAAGCTAAAGGAGGAAAAGTTGAGTGCACATCCAGTGATGGTAGATGAAGAGAGATCTGAGCAACGGAGCGCGGGGGGAACAATAACTAACAGGCTGGAAGAGCAGTAAATGACATACAGTAAGGCGA